TGTGTTTATGGCAGGAGCTGTGATAAAGAGGAGATAATTCGAGTTCTGTTATGTGATGAACCAACTAGTAGTAAAGTTGGTGTAGTTCCTATAGTTGGGATGAGTGGTATTGGCAAGACAACTCTTGCTCAATTAGTTTACAACGATGATAGAGTGGACGAGCATTTCGATTTGAGAATTTGGATGTTTGTATCTGATCATTTTGATGCAGTGAGGGTGACAAAAACAATTCTGGAGTCAGTGAGTACAGAAAAAGTAGATCTTGATGACTTGAATCTACTTCAAGTTTGTTTGAAAGAAAAATTGGCTGGAAAGAGATTCTTGCTTGTTTTGGATGATGTTTGGAACAAGAGAAATAATGATTGGGATCTCTTGTGGATTCCATTGAAATCAGGAAAAAGTGGAAGCAAGATAATAGTAACAACACAGAATAGTGATGTTGCATCAAGCATGGGTACAGTTCGAGCTCACAATTTAAGAGGTTTGTCATTTGAAGATTGTTGGTTATTGTTCAGGAGTCAAGCATTTGAGAATAGAATCGTAGATGTTAATTTTGAGGCTATCGGTAAGGAGATTGTCAAAAGGTGTGATGGCTTGCCCTTGGCAGTGAAAAGATTTGGAATCCTATTGCATCCTAGAATGGAAGAAGATGAATGGAAAGACATATTGAGTAGGAAAATATGGGATCTACCAGATGATGAAAGTAACATCCTTCAAACTTTAAGATTAAGCTACAATCACCTTCCTGCACATCTGAAGCCGTGTTTTGCATATTGTTCCTTGTTCCCAATGGAATTTGAATTTGACAGGGATTCAGTTGTTTTGTTATGGATGGCAGAAGGTTTTCTTGAGCAACCTAAAGGAAATAAAAAATTGGAAGCTGTTGGCTGTGAGTATTTTCAGGAGCTGGTATCCAGATCATTCTTTCAACAATCAATTCATGATACATCACGATTTATAATGCACAACCTCATGAAAGAGCTAGCTCAATTTGTTTATGGAGAATTTTGTTTCAGGTTGGAGGATAAGATAAAGGAGAGTGAAGCGTTTGAGAAGGCTCGTCATTCTTCATATATTCGTCATCAGCGTGAGGTAAATACAAGGTTTGAGTCCTTCAGCAGACTTGAGTACTTACGCACCTTCCTTTCATTTGATCCAACTGATGGAATTGGAGTCAGCTATTTGGCTAATAAAGTTCCTTGTGATCTGCTGCCAAGGTTACGATATCTACGAGTGTTGTCTTTCAATGCCTGTCGTATTACTGAATTGCCAGATACAATAGGAAATTTAAAACATCTACGTTATCTGGACCTTTCTCGCACTGCAATTGAAAGGTTGCCTGATTCAATAAGTTTGCTTTGCAATTTACAAACTTTGTTATTAGTGGAATGCCGCTCTCTCACTAAGTTGCCAGAAGAGATGGGGAACCTAACAAGCCTACGTCATCTTCATATTACTGGAAGCAGATTAAAAGAGATGCCACCGGGAATGTGTAGACTGAAGAATCTCCAGACCTTGTCTAAGTTTATGGTGCGCAGAGACAGTGGATGGGGAATTAGAGACTTGAGGGACATGCTGCAACTTAAGGGATCACTTCTCATTTCTGGACTACAGAATGTTGTAAATTTTG